TTTCTTTGCAACTATACCGCTTATCCAGCAGACCCGAGCTCACACCCACTCCGTAGAGTTAGATCCCCAACAGTGCACTCTGAGGACTCCCAGAGCTGGGGTAGAGACACCTAGCGGGAGGGAACGCCTGTCTCGGAGGGAGGGGCTGGAAGCTGGTCTTCCACCTCCGAGGGCAGGTAGGTGCACTGCATCTTTATGCAAAGCCAACACTGAGCCATTGCCAAGGGCATCCCTGGGGAGACCCTGGTAAAGGAGGCTGCTCCGCATGTCCCCCAAGAGATGGAACATGAGATGGCCACCGGGAACAGGGATGCATCATAAAAGCATACGTGGCCACCTTACAATACTGCTGAATTGCCAAACCATATAAACTTACTATTTGAGTTCTATTTTTATAAAATAGTTCTAGATTTATGGCAATATGTATATGTGTATTTATAGCCCTTCAACTTTAATTTATAGTTTTGTGCTTTGAAGAAATATATGTCTGATTCAGGAACTGTATATTGAAAATATTATATTCAAAGTATTTAAAGCCTATTCAATAAAATGTCATGCCAAGAAAGAGGACTTTGGCCGTTGCTTCTGTGCAGAAATGCTACACAATGCAGGGCTGCAAATCCTGGGACCTGAGTCCGCAGTTCCTTGGCCCACATCTGGGGTCCGCCTCCAGCAGCAGTGATGTGTGTTGGAAAGATGTAGGGGCTCTGGGGTGGGTTTTTGGCACAGTGGTTGAGACACCACTTTGGGGGTCGCCGTATTCCATATCGGAGGGCCTGACTCCCCACTTGGCTTCCCATCCGGCTTCCTGCTAATGCACACCCTGGGAGGCAAGGGAATGGCTCAAATCCGAGAGTCCCTGCCACCCCCATGGAAGACCTGGACAGACTTCAGCTCCTGGCTCTGCAGATGTTTGCATGGGAGCTTTGGCTGTGTCTCTCTTTCTGTTTCTCTGCCTCTCACATCAATAAAAGAATTTTAAATAACTAAATGTCATTTATTCGTTAACAGCTTAAACAATAAAAAATAGTGGGATCGTTCTAATCACTAAAATGCATTCAATAAAATTCAGCATTCATTCATAATTTAATTTTTAAAAGCCTCATAGTAAAATGGAAAGGAAAGAACAGACTTAGCCTGACAAAGAGCATCTAGAAAAAACCCTGCAACATGCATCATCCTAAATGGGGAAGTGTTGGAATGTTCCCTTCAAAATCAGGATGAAGAGATATGCGCTATCAGCGCTTCCATTCATCACTGCACTACAGGTTCCAGCCAGTGCGACGAGAAGAAAAATGACGGGAAAACTTCATAAAGGAAATAAAAGTGTCATTGCTTAGAGACGAAGGTCGTTTATGGAGAAACCCCAAAAGAATCTTCAAATGCATTCATAGAAATGATAAATAAGGTCACAGGAGCTCATACAAGATCTGTGTACAAACCAATTGCGTTTTATACACCGGCAATAAACAACAGAATCACAATTTAAAATACATGGCTGTGACAGTCCCAGAGAATAAATCTAACAAGACATGAAAGACAAAACCGTATCGAGGTAAGCATAAACTCTACTCGAAGACGCTGGAGCTGTGAATGGAAGAGAGGTATTCCAAGTTCATGAATAGAAGTCCTGAAAAAGACAGCATGGCCATTCCGGTCTAACGCCCCACAAGGAGATTCTGCAGCTGAAAGAGGCGACTTGGTCATTCAGACCAAGCTGCCCGTGGAAGATATTTTCAACTTTTGGCATACATACGTTTTTGAAAGATCTCATTTGAAAAGCATAGAAAGGCTCTCTGGTTCAAGAGCAGGGAGACAGAGGGCAGACCATACCCCCGGGCTATCTTGTGGTCTTGGGTAGGCAGCCCGGAAAGCAAGCTCTCATGGCTTAGTCTTTGCAGAATTGGGGGGAGGGTCCTGGAGTCCAGCACCACCGAAGGGGAACCCTGGTGCCCCACCACACTCACCGGGCTGGGAAAGGACTGTGTCCCCAGAATGAGCATAAAATATAAACGCACCAGCGGCTGCATGCACTGAACCCACTTTCACGTCATCTGGAAGGCCCAGAAAAATCCAGAAAAATCTCGAGCTCTCAAGTCCTGGCAGTTGTATTAAGCTGCCCCAGGCTGCAGCCTGGACCTCAAATCATTTCCACAAATAATTGAGCTAATACAATACCCAGGACACAATTAAACTGGGGCGGGGGGGGGGAGGGCAGGCATTTGCATACTCTAGCAGCTAAATGACACTTGGCAACTACTACACGAAGGATCTCTCTCTCTCTCTCTCTCTCTTTCAAAAACCTTAAAAACTGAAAACTAAACAGTGTGGCCCAGGGGCAGGCACTTGGTAGAGAAGCCCCTTGGGAGCCCTGCATCCCATATCGGAACGCGTGGGTTCAAGTCCCAGCCCCACTCCTGACTCCAGCTTCCTGTTAACGTGCATCCCGGAAGGCAGCAGGTGACGGCTCATGTACTTGAGTCCCCAACACTCACGTGGTAGACCCGAATGGGGTTCTCCACTCCCGGCTTCAGCCTGGCCAGCACGGGCCGCTGTGGACATTTGAGGAATGAAGCAGCAGATGGGAGATGTCGATCTGCCTTTCAAATAAATAAAGAATGCATTCCTGAGGACTGTTTAAGAATAAATAAACGAGGTGGCACAGAAGACTTGAAAACAAACTAAAACTCTAGAATTGGAAAATAAATAACTGCAATCAATCACCAAGTTGACGGCTTTATAATGCCAGTTAAGACATAGCTGATGCAGTGCAGGCATCCCATACGGGCACTGGTTCAAGTCCCGGCTGCTCCTCTTTCTGACCCAGTTCTCTGTTATGGCCTGGGAAAGCAGTGGAAGATGGCCCAAGTCCTTGGGCCCTGCACCCATGTAGGAGACTCAGAAGAAGCTCCTGGCTATTGGCTTCAGATTGGCGCAGCTCCAGCTGTTGCAACCATCTGGGGAGGGAATCAGCAGATGGAAGACCTCTCTCTCTCTCTCTCTCTCTCTCTCTCTCTCTGCCTCTCCTCTCTCTGTGTAACTCTGCCTTTCAAATAAATAAATCTCTTTTTTTTTAAAAGACACAGCTGAAGAGAAAATTAATAAACTGAATTACAGGTAAAAATGAATGAATACACGCAGACACAATCCAGAAAGAGAGGTGAAAAAGAAGAACAGAGAAGAGACATAAAGAATACATGAGAAAATCTAACATACATTCAGCCGGAGTCCTGAAGAGTGAGAAATGAAACAGAAACAATATGCAAAGAAGTAATGGGGGCCTGGCCCTGTGGCATAGCCGCCGCCTGCAGCGCCAGTATCCCATATGGGCACTGGTTTGAGTTCTGCTATGGCCTGGGAAGGCAGTAGAAGATGGCCCAGGTGCTTGGGCCCCTGCACCCACGTGGGAGACCTGGAGGAAACTCCTGGCTCCTGGCTTTGGATTGGCACAGCTCCAGCCATTGCAGCCAATTGGGGAGGGAACCAGCAGATGGAAGACCTCTCTCTGTCTCTCCTCCCCTCTGAGTGTAACTCTGACTTTCAAATAAATAAATAAATAAATATTTTTTAAAAAAAGGTAATGGAAGTAATCACTCAAACTTGTCCAAAAACTGTTGAAGAATCTTAATTCACTTTCTATTTCTTTTTTTTTTTTTTTAGGATTTATTTATTTTTTTGAAAAGCAGAGTGACAGAAAGAGATACAGAGACACACACATACATATGAGAGAAGGAGAGAGGAAGAAGGAGAAGGAGAAGGAAAGAGAGAGGGAGAGAGAGAGTTCTTTCATCCACTGGTTCACCCCCCAAATGGCCACAACACCTGGGGCTGGACCATGGCAAAGCCAGGAGCCAGGAATTCCATATAAGTCTCCCATGTACATAGCAGAGGTCCAATTACATGGGCGATCATCGGCTGCTTTCCCAGGCCATTAGCAGGGAGCTGGATCAGAAGCAGGGTTTCAAGAATTTCAACAAATCCCAAGCAAAATAAATAAAAAGAAACCCAAACATACTATGAAGCTGTGGAAAGCAAAAGATAAGGGAACTTGAAAACAGAACAGCAACAGAATCCAATAAAAATCTTTATAAAAACTTTAGCAAAATTGGTGCGACAGAGCTAAATTTCTAATACCTAAAAATCATACAGCAATGGAGGATTCTGTCTCTTATTTTAAGATTTATTGATTTATTCGAAAAGCAGTTACAGAGAACCAGAGGTGCAGGCTGGGGTGGGGGGGCAAATCTTCCATTCCCTGGTTCACCCCCCAAACGGCCGCAATGGCTGGAGCTGGGCTGATCTGAAGCCAGGAGCCAGGAGCTTCTTCTGGGTCTCCCACGCGGGTGCAGGGGCCCAAGCACTTGGGCCATCTTCTGCTTTCTCAAGCCATAGCAGAGAGCTGGATGGGAAGTGGAGCAGCTAGGACTCGAACCGGCGCCCACATGGGATGCCGGCACTGCAGGTGGTGGCTTCACCTTCTAGGCCACAGCGCGGGCTCCAGGATTCTACTTTTTACGAAAAGTTAGGGAGAATGAGGCAACACCTTCTCCCCAGACAGGGCGTACAGCCCTGCGTTCTCCCCAGCGCGGCGGTCAGCTGTTCACCATGGGAGACAATGTGCTGGGGGGAAGTGCCAAAACCCTGCGTTCATCCTCACCGGTTACGTGGAAGTTCATTCTCACGGAGGACACGAGTGCCGCAGTGCAGCAGGCTGTATCCGTGGGAGAATCAAAACACGCGCAGTTCAAAGGGAGGGCCGAGATATCAGGAATCAGAAACGTCAGCAGTATCAGCCACCCCGCGCACTTAAAGATGCACACTGGACTCTCCGGGTGGGCTGGGAAGAATTCCCGCTGCCTCAGGCCTCCTAGGCCGGCTGCAGCCCGGGGTGGGGCTCCGAGCAGCTCTGCAGGTGTCCAGGCCCCGCCCCGGCCCCGCCCCGGCCCCGCCCAGTCCCGCCTCCTCCAGGTCACGCCCACCCCGCCGCCGCACAGAAGCACGGTTGCCTAGCAGCGGCGTGTGTTGCTCCGTAGCCCCGGCGGCGGCGGCGGCGCGCGGGCAATGCCCAAGAAAGCGGTGGTCACCATACGCTATGGGCCCTACAGCGCGGTGGGCCTGGCCGTGGAGCACCGCACCTTCCGCCTGGAGGGCTTGCAAGGTGGGTCCCCGCTGCGCGGGCCCCGGGCGCCCAGCCTCCGAGCGTCCGCGCCGGCCATGCCCACTGCCCAGCCCCCTCTTCCTTCCCCAGCCCCGAGCGGCCGCCCACGACCCAGCGGGTCTCCCCGGACTCTGGTCTGCCCGGGCGACTTCGCATCTTCAGGCTTCCGGGGCTTGGTTTCGGCTAAGAGTGAGAACACACTGGAATGGTGGGGCCCCTGGGCGCTGGCCTGGTGTCCGCGAATTAAACAGAGTCCCAGCACCCGGCTTTAGCAATTGGGAAACTGAGCATCACGAATACTCAACCTCACAAGTCAAATGGCTGGGCAATGGCCGCGCTGAGCTTCTGTCCCTGGGTCACTTATGCAACAAACCCCTGGGTGCCTTCCACAAGCTCACCTGTGAGCCTCTCAGATTTCCCACCACTCCCCCCCCCCCCCCCAAGGCCTGCATTCAGCCCGTGAGGCTGTCTTGGAGTGACAACACAGAGAAGTTGCGGGACCGGGGGTGCGGGTGGGGTGTGGGGGTGTGTGTGCTATGTAGAGGCTGCAGGAAGGCTGAATGACCAACCGTGTGTGTCGCATGGCCACCCAGAAAACCCGCAGGCACCTGTGGGCAGCCTTAGGGAGCAGCCGCACATGGACGGAGGGCGCCGCAGCCGAGGCTTAGGCGGGCAGGGACAACCGGCATGTGGGGTCAGGGTCGCCGCGGAGTCGGCAGCTGGGCAGTGCTTAGGAGCTGCAGGGACTCCAGCCTGTGGGAACTGTAGCGCGGGCTGTGACCAGCGGAGCTCTGGGGGGTGGGGTGGGGGTGGGCTGCCCAAGTCCTTCACCACGGTGTGCCCAGGATGCTGGACATGGAGCTTTGGTCTCACTTCTCCTTTCTAGTTCCCGGTCTCCCCCTTTTCGGGACGGACATGTGCGCCCCATGCCTGTCTCGCCCATGTATCGGAATGCATTGAAGTAACTCCGGATTTCAGCAGGCTCACGGTTAAAGGAGTCTGTTCGAATTCTCAGATGAGACTTGGGACTTGGGGATGACGTTGGGATGACTTAAAAGACTTCGGATCGATGGGGATGGAGTGATGTGGTGGTGTTTGTGAGGATGACGGGAGTTTCATGGGGCTGAGGGTAGAGTGCTATGGTCTGAAGGTGATTTGGCTCCTGAACTCAGGTAAGACTTTATCCGCCTCCTGGCCGGCGCCGTGGCTCAATAGGCTAATCCTCCACCTGCGGTGCTGGCACACCGGGTTCTAGTCCTGGTTGGGGCACCGGATTCTGTCCCGGTTGCTCCTCTTCCAGTCCAGCTCTCTGCTGTAACCCGGGAGTGCAGTGGAGGATGGCCCAAGTACTTGGGCCCTGCACCCGCATGGGAGACCAGGAGAAGCACCTGGCTCCTGCCTTCGGATCAGTGCAGTGCGCCGGCTGCAGTGGCCACTGGGGGGTGAACCAATGGAAAAGGAAGACCTTTCGCTCTGTCTGTCTCTCTCTCTCACTGTCCACTCTGCCTGTCAAAAAAAAAAAAAAAAAAAAAAGACTTTATCCCCCAAAGTCGTAATCCAATAGAACTTTCTTTCGTTTATTCTACTACTTTGGGTAGACAGTTACGTTGGCTGGTTTCTCACTGGGCACTGCCTTCAGTACATCGCAAAGTTTGTGTATGTTGTGGTTTTTTGGTCATTCATCTCAGGCTATTTCCTAATATTCTTTGTGATTTCTCCTTTGATTCCTTGGTTTAAGAGTGTGTTGTCTTATTTACATACACAAGTACTTGTGGGTTTTCTGGTTTTCCTTCTTTATTGATTTCTGATTGTGGTTGGGAGTGATACTTTGTAAAATTTCATTCTTCTCAAATGTATTAAGATTTGTTTTGTGGCCTAACCTATGATCTGTCCTGGAGAAGGTTCCGTGTGCGTTTGAGAGTGTGGATTCTGCTGCTGGGTGGGGCGGTTGTGGGAATTGCTTACCGGAAGACAGTAATGAACTTGGCCGCATCAACCGACTCTTCCTTGAGTGAAAGATTTCTCTGCAGCAGAGAAACTGTGTACAATCATTTTGCCCACGGTTCCTTTAGAACTGGAGTCCGTTTCGCTGCTTGGTCTACTCCGTGTATGTAACATTCTGAGTACTTGGTTGCCATGTCAACCATGGTCCAGCCTCCTCCCTAGCAGTAGAGTCCATCTCAAGAAACACACTTTCTTTTCTCATCTGTACTCGTCAGCTCTTCATCGCTACAACGAAGACCCAAAACTAAGGAGACTCCTGGGGCTCACGGTTTTGGAAGTTCGCAGCCAAAGATTTGGCTGGCCCCATGGTTCTGGCCATCTGGTGGAGAGCAGAGGATGACCATGGTGGAGCGAGGGCAGGGGCTGATCACATGGCTGGCAGGGAGCAGAGAGGCGGGTGGCTAGACCCAACTCAGGCTTATATAACCAACACTGTCCAGAGAACTAAATTCCAGTGGCACGCCCTCAAGGGCCCAAGGACACCTCCCTGGACTTGCCTCCTAAACACCATCATTGCACCAAGTCACCATGCTCCCAGCACCACCAACTCATGACCTTGGGGCTTAAAGTCCTACATGAGTTCAGGAGCCAAATCACGCTCAAAATAAACATCATCCCTGAGAAGCAACCCTCGTCCATTCAGGTTTTATCCTTAGAGGGCGCCATTCAGTCCCACCGCAGGCTCCCCTCTGGTTCTAGTTCTCATCCTGTTTGCCCCAGGTCTGCTGTCACTTCCTCCAGGGAAGTCTTGAGCCTCTCCAAGTCATCCGTGAGGATTGGGTTCAGCTTCTCTCAATCTCCTGCTACTGTTGCTGTCCTCATCACTCCCCTCTGGACCACAAAATATGTAATGTTACCCAGAATGGCGACTCCTTTCCAGAATGTTCTCAGGGAACTTTGCTCAGCTCCGTCAGAGCAGTCGCTCCTTGGGGCTGTGCAGCCCTCTGCAATCTGCTTCTTGAACAATAAGACTTGTGTTGGAAGACACGAAAACATCAATCTCCATGTGCCTCTCCGACAGACTCCGGATGGCGTCGACGATGAGAAGAAGTAATATTTTGAAAGGGTCTGAGCCACAGGTCTCAACCATGGCTTACCATGCTCAGTGAGCCATGTTGTAAATGGATGCGCTGTCACGCAGGCTTTGTTGTCCCATCTGTGGAGCACAAGCAGGGTAGATTTTGTGTAATCCTTGAGGAGCCTAGCTAGGACTTAGGCTGGCAAAGGCGCATTGGCTTCAACGTAAGCCCCTCCCTGACAAGACTCCTGGCCTGGCCTTCGCAGCCTGCAGCCTGGCTCCAATTTCTCCTCGCTGCCTGTGAAAGACCTGGACGGCATCTTCCCAAAATACAAGCTGCTTTGTCTACACTGGAAATCTGCTGTAAGCCTAGCTGTCTGCGTCTGTGACTTTAGCTGACTTCCGGCTGACTTGCCACACCTGCGGTTCTGCCTTGTACTTGTATGTTGTGGAGGTGATGTCCTTCCTTAAGCCTCATGAGACAAACTCTGCTGATATCCACCTCTGTAGCTCCCTTACCTCTCCCAGCCTTCAGAGTTGAAGAGAGCTAGGGCCCCCTGCTAGATTTTTGTGTGTGCTTTCCCTTTTCTCTGTGTGCTTTTAGCTATTTTTATTGACACAGGGAGCTCGGTCCCATCTGCTGGTTTATTCCCCAAATGCCGCCAATGGCTAGGGCTGGACCATGCTGAAGCCAGAAGCCAGGAACCCAGTCCACTTCTCCCTGGTGGGTGGCGGGAGCCCGACCACCGCTTCCTTAGATGTCCGTCAGCGGGAAGCTGGAGCCAGGAGCCGGAGCTGAGCGTTGACCTCAGGCACTCTGGTGCACATGGGAGTCTCAGCCAGCTGCCAGCTGGTGCCTGTCCCTAGTTATTTTCTTAGTGGTGAACTAGGGCATTCGCATCCTAAACTTGTGACAACTCGATCTAAACAATACCAACTCAGTTTTCACCAGCTTACAAACATTGTGCTCCTAGACACCTCCAAGTTTACTGGTTCTTTCTTATGCTTACTCGAAGCTGCTGTGTGACCTCTCTAGTGAACTTCTCATTTCAATTATTGTACTTTTCCACTTCATAACTTTTCTTTGGTTCCTTTTTAGATTTTCTGTCTTTTTATTGGTGCTCCCATTTTGCTCATACATCATTCTCTTCATCTTTTAGTTTTTTATCTATGGTTTAATACAGTTGATTTGTGGGGCTGGTATTATGGCATAGTAGGTTAGGCCATATGGGTGCCAGGTTCTAGTCCCGGTTGCTCCTCTTCCAGTCCAGCTCTCTGCTGTGGCCTGGGAGGGCAGTGGAGGATGGCCCAAGTGCTTGGGCCCTGCACCTGCATGGAGACCAGGAAGAAGCACTTGGCTTCTGGCTTCAGTTTGGCGCAGCGCCAGCCATGGCGTCCATGTGGGGGGTGAACCAATGGAAGGAAGACCTTTCTCTCTGTCTCTTTCTCTCTCTCTCACTGTCTAACTCTGTCAAATAAAATAATATAAAATTAAATTAAATTAAAGAGAGAAAAAAGAAAGTAGAGCGGCCAGGTCTCAAACCAGTGCCCGTATAGGATGCTGGCAATGCAGGCGATGGCTTTACCTGCTACAGTGCCGGCTCCTTAATTGTAATCTTTTGCCCAGGCAGCTGTGGGATTTTCATTTGCCTTTTGATGTTTCTGAGCATGCCCACAGCTTTTCCCCCGGGTCAGTGCCAAGCTAGGCAAACAAAGACAGGCGTCTTGTGTCTGTCCTTGGTGAAGCTGCAACAGCCAAGAGAGAACAGAGAAACCCAGGAACTTGCAAACAAGGTCTGCCCTGCCCCCTCTGGAACCCAGGACCAGGACCCCGTACGGGGAACACGGGGCGCTGTCTTCACCGTCACGCCGGGCAGGAGGCGCGGTGAGGGCAAGCCCCAATGCCACCACGCTTGCCTGCTTGCTCTCGATTCCTGTTCATTTGGTTGCCATAGGCCTTTGACTGTTTTCTAGAGTT